CGCACGCACGCACGCACGCACACACACACACACACACACGCACGCACACACACACACACACACACCTCGTAGACCACCCTTCGGGTTATCAGGAGGTTTGGGGGGGAGCGCCATCTGTGATTTGCACTTGGTGCACAACTCAACTCACGGGTGGGCACACATCGGGGCACCAATCTGTCGTTTTGTTGTTACCTACCTATGTATAGATATGATTATTTGCCCATCTATATGTTTACCGGTCTACCTACCCATCTGTCTGTTCAGCTATACTCGATCTGTCGATCTGGACAACCATCGGGACAGCCACCGTGACAAGTGGTATGTCTACCACTACATCCGTCTGTAGATCCATCTATCCATCTCACTGTTTCCCAACCGATTTCCACCTATTACGGACGCCCTCGTGGGGCCTCTTGGGCCGTTGGGGCGATCGCGGAAGCGCGTGGGATCGTCGTGGTTTGTCGGAAGCCCCCAAAATACGAGAACGCCGAAATCATTCAAACCTACAATTTTTGCCACTCGCGGCCATCTTTGGAGTGTCCTGGAGCTCTTTGGGACGCTTGTTTGACCGTGTTGTGGCCGTGCTGGGGCCATGAGGTGGCTGTCCTGGGGTCCTCGTGTCCATCTCGGGGGTAGTTGCGAGGCACTTCTTGGGCGTTCGGGGGCGTCTTGAGACGTGCGGGCGGCCACCCAGGGAGGACGGGGGAGGCGTCCGAAAGGTGCCTGGGGGAGGGTGGGGAGCCGTGCGAGAAGCGTCCTGGGAGAGTGTGTGTGTGTGTGTCCACTAATGCTACATCGCCAGAGCAGTCCCTCTGCTTAGCCGCCGACGCAAGTAAGTGTGTGTGTGTGTGTGTGTGTGTGTGTGCGTGTGTGGGCCATCCGTGTTTTCTTCCATGCAGGATGTACAATTATAGGATTTTGTAGAATTTTTGTTGTTCGTATTCACGCCTCGCGTATCCCCACCAGCCCATTTAGAAACCCTGCCCATGAGAGTTGACGGGAAAAGGGACGAAGCGACACATGTAGTGAAACAGTGCGAGCAACCAGGGTGAACAGAGAGATCCCTGGGAGCAAGGGGGTGGTCTTGGAGGGCCTCTTCGGGCCATCCCTGGGGCCCGCGTGGGGGCGAGGGAAGGATGAAGATGCGGAGGAGGAGGACGACGACGACGGCGACGACGGCGATGACAAGGAAGAGGAGGAACAGGAAAAGGAGGACGATGAGGGCATCGACGAGTACGAGGACGAGGAGGAGAAGGAGGATGAGGAGGAGGAGGACAACGAGGACGAGGACAGAGCTTCAAAATTGCCTGTTGGAGCTCTCTTGGGACTCTGTTGGGGGATCTTGGGTTCTCTCTTGGGGCCTTCTTGGAGCCCTCGTGGGGGTCCCTTGAGAGCCCTGGAGGGCCTCTTGAGGCCATCTTGGAGACCATCGATCAAACGGGGGAGGTCTCAAATGTTCCCCTGGGGCCTTCGAAATCGCCTCTTGGTGCCCGCCTGGGGTGCTCTTGGGCCGCTCGTGGGTGCTCTTGGGGCCGTCTGGGGGTCCTCTTGGGCCCCTCTTGGGCCTCTCTTGGGCCATCTTGGGGACATCTTGAGGCCTCAGAAGCGAATTTGACGAGAAAAGGCGAGAAGTCACACATTATTTATTGATATAGATTTTGAAGGATTTTTGCCCCCTGGTGGGATCCTGAGGGGCTCCGAGAGAGCACTTGGGCCTCTTG